CGTAGCCGGCACAGTTTTTTATCGTGGACTTGGTATCTCAAAGCGTAGCCGGCACAGTTTTTTATCGTGGACTTGGTATCTCAAAGCGTAGCCGGCACAGTTTTTTATCGTGGACGTGTATGAGCTTTGCCAGGTACACGTCTGCCCATGCGTGTGCGGGCCGGCTGAAGGATGCTCGCTGCTCCTTTCTGTGTGTGAAACGTGTGCCAAAGGTTTGGGGCTCGTCACACTTTGACACCAGTCCTGATGTGTGTGTGTGTGTGTTTTCCCTTGTCAGTTTTAAGTTTAATTTTAAACCACTGGCACGGAAAGCTCACCCTAAAGCCAACCCCACAGATTAATGCATTGTTTTCCTTCCCCGTGTTTGAAGAAAGCAAAGCAGATTAAAATTAGTGGTGGAATGTTAAAAATGTCCCACTGCACGTATAAACCACCGTGCAGACTCGGGCAGTCACTCAATCTCTGTTTTTTCACCCCCCCCAATAAATCGCTGCTGTATACAGAGATAGGCTTTAGGGCCTACAAACATACTGCTGGACCCAAGAAACACCAGCGCCAATCTATCTGAGAGGCAAGAGCATATGCCTATCACAGACGGAGAAAGATCTTGGGGAGGAAGTATGAAAATTCAAGTGAGAACGAAAGAGGCAGAACAGGAGCGATGACGCGGAACAGAGATGGGCTACGGGGGTCCAGGGAACAGAGGGCGTGCGGTGTATCTTACAGGCACGTTCTACTGCAGTCAGTGGCCAAAAAGGTTCTGCCAAAAAGAACATTAGGACTTTACTGTAAGCTGATATGGGACGCTGAAGTGATGGAGGCTGTGGTCTCCATGGCGAGCCCTATGTAGGCCTTTCTGTATATGGGGTGTCCCGATTGTAGACAACTTATATGTTACACACTGCATCACAGAAAGAGACAAAAGGTTTCTCCTGTGCTGAGCAGCACATGAGGAAAACTCTATAACTCCAGCCATGGGGCTAAATTTGTACTTTCATGAATTTTTCATGTTTAATGTAAAATTGAGCGCGGGCTGGCTAACTTGTCACCGGTGGAACCTCTAAAAATGGAGCAATGGGGGGGGGGGGTTGCAGGGGGGTGTGGTGGCACACACTGCAGACACATTATCCTGAGTGCATTTATAAAAGCACCCACGAGGAGAAAGCTGAGGTGACGCCAGACGGACAACGTGCAAAATAAGCACCCGCTTCAGATTGCCACGCAGAGGAATTTCCAGCTGAGAGTTGCACTCGCTTTAGATGTGAGGACACAGGAAGTGTCACGGTGCGCGGATCTCAGCAGCTACGGCGAACCCACGGCTTGGGCGCGGTCTTGTCGTCGTACTCTCGACGGCAGATGATTTCCGAGCCGCTTCACTGGAACCTCTGGCCACAGAAGCACCAGAAGTTCGGGGGCGGGGGGGGTGCATGGTGCCCAGCCTGTTTTCGGCCGCAGCCCTGCTCAGGTGTGCTGCTGGTACCAAAGTCTCGCTTCCCCATATTCTGACACCATTTCGCACCATTGGCTGCTTATTGGTCACTCGTCCTACTGCTGACTTAGTCCTCTCCCATGTTGTCCGTGCAAAGTACAATCACCACTGACATATACATAATACCTTAGGCATCCAGCCCTGAACTTCTCTACCCAGAGTTACAAAGGTTTTACAGCATCCATCCATCCATCGTTACACCCGGGACAGGATGCCAGTCCATCACAGGCATGCGACACTCTTACCTGCCCATGCTTTAGGAATATGTTGGTTTCTGTTCCAGAAACTCCTGAATAATTAAGCCCAAGTGAGTTATCTTCTTTGAGTTAATTGCACGATTCAAATCACGATAAACCCATCTAGGCTGGAGCTTTCATTTCTCATTTGCATTAAACTCAATTGGTGCACAATAAGGAATGACTAATCAATGATTAATCTTTTTTTAGCCTATGAATGAGGAAGGGGATTAATTATTGAATGAATTATTGAATTAATTAATTGATTAATTAATTAATTAATTAAACAAAGAAAAATTATTTAGATGTATAAATTTAATTCAATTATAATGCATGTTGTTTAAATGTGATTTGTTTAAACCTGTTTTGTAAAAGAAAGTTTGAAACCAGTGAATGATGTAGCATTAGAGCTGTATTTACTACATGAATTCAAGAATTTTTAGTCTACAGTTAATTGGGTATAAAAAACATATGTAACCTGTCACTAAGCCCAGGATGAGGAAAGACTGTTTTAGAGTATAAAGTTTTAATGTGACTGACACCTGAATTACAAGGTTGATTATCTTAATAAACTAATGGAGTTAAGGTTGATAGATAAACAGCCCCAGAGGGTTGGGTTGGACACCCCAACGTACACAATTTGGACAAAAGTATTAAGACACACCTCTCAATCATTGAATTCTGGTATTTCATTCAGACCCATTGCACCTAGCCAGGCAGTCAGGTTTACAAACATTTGTAAACCCTAGCTCCAGGGAAGGGAACTCTTAATGCTTCAGCATATCAAGACATTTTGAACAATTCTATGCTTCTAACTTTGTGTAAGGGAAAGGTCCATAGAGATATGGTTGGATGATTTTGGTGTGAAAGAACTTCATTGGCCCACACAGAGCCCTGACCTCAACCCCATCAAACACCTTGGGGATGAATTAGACCTGAGATTGTGAGCCAGGCCTTCACGTCCAACATCAGTGCCTGACCTCACAAATGCTCTTCTAGAGGAATGGGCCAAAAATTCGCACAGACGCATTCCAAAACCCAAAAATGGGATGTTATAAAAGTTCTTGTGGGTGTAATAGCCAGGCGTCTCAACACTTTTGTCCATAAAATGTATATTCTGTATATGTCCTCTCTCCAATGCAGCACTTCCCAAAGTTTGTCACAGTAACTACCCAGTTTCAATCACTAGTTTAAAGCCCTGACTGTAATAAGCATTGCTTTCAGCTGGAATCTAACACCACTGTAGTCTAAACAATGAAAAAACAATTAGCCACATCGCCAATGTCACCCTTATTAAATACCAAAATAAAATCTATTCTATAATAATGCAATAATTCACTATTCTTAGCAGTGCTCACACCCAAAATAGCTTAACGTCCATCACTGCCCAACTGCAGCAATGAATATGTGCTAAAGACCATAAATTAAGTAACTAAAGCACAGCTACAAAAGAGACCATTCTTGGGACTTGAACAAGCAACCTTCTGGATGAGAGTTGACTTGTTTTGCAAAGCTAACCAGTTGCCATTGTTGCTGTCACTGTACCAGTCTTGTGCTTAGCTTGCACAGCATATACAAATGTTCTATTACGCTACTGAAGACGTCTCACTGGCACTTTATTCTAACAAAGCATATTAAAAATAATAGAACATTAAAGAAACTCTAAAATGAATACAGCGAATATTACTTAGGAAAGCAAATCTGACCCGGAGAACCACGATTTAGTGGACTTCTTTACTTAAGTCAACAAATTTATACCTAAGTGCCTTACTCAGATTGTGCAAGGCCCAAGAACCCAACAGCCTGAACTGTCTGAAGAGGTTTAAACAGCCAATGCTAGTGTGTTTTGTGTCACAACCAGGTGATTAGTGTGGTTTGTCTGCCCTAAACCACGCTGGTGACTGAGAAATGGAAACTTCCAAAACAGAGGCCCAGTCCCAAACTATATCCTCGACATTCCGGCTTCACTATGAGTCGCCCTCACACAAGGCCCTATGCACTAACACTGAAGGAAATTTTTGCAAGAAAGATTTGAGATTCACCCTCGCGCCGCCTTGTTCAGTCTTCTATACAGGAAACAAAATACTTTCAAAATACCTGTTGAAATAATGTCGTTTCTTTAATAATATGAGTTGTATGGGTTAAGTAAATCAAAAAAACTATATATATATATATATATATATGGCCAGACTTCAGCAGTGTGATGTATCCTCTTCTGATTAATATTGTATGATAGAATAAAAATAGATGAATATTCTCATGTCTATTCAGCTCACGAAAAATTTAAATGCAACGTTAAGAAACATCCATGTGTTTAAACATTTAGTTGCTTTAACTTAATACTAACTTGATATGAAATATTCTAATATGTAAATGTTTTCTAACACTTATTTGGCCATACATTGTCCTTGATACAGTTCTTGTGTGCAAAGCATTGTGGGATATGACCGTGGTGGTGGAGTTGCGTGAGCTTGCTTGAGACTCGCTTCATGAGGGCATAACGGGTCACGTCCCCCTGAGCCCTTGCTGCTTTGAGACACACTTCAACATGGCGACGGGTCTTCGGGAGACACGCAAACGAAGGCGGAGTGGTGAGGCGGAGTGTGTAGGGACTGGTTTGGAACTGGGCCAGACAGCAAGCTTCATAAAGAGGGAAAAGAGACTAATTGTTTTGCGCAAGGCTTTCAACTATTTCTTAAAACACAAACGCACTAAAAAAAAAAAAAATCATGTGTGAAACCACAGTTCTCAGTGTTGGTCAAAAATACGGTTAGAGAAAAGTTCGCATTGTGAAGCACTGAGAAAGGCAACGTGGTGCCCATGCTTGGTATGCTCCACACGTCTTGGGGAATGTTAGCGTCAGCAGCTTCTCCCACATACCGCTAAGCAGCACGTATAATTAATTACTGCAATGTGCATCGATCCACCCTAATGCTCTACTCATCGCTAGTGAAACTTACGCAACGTGGACACAGTATGGATGACTCACGGCCACCAGTTGCGTTCCCACATTGATGTTTTCTCCGCCACATTGCTGCACTGACTCGGTGACACATTTGACTTCTGGATTCCCACGTCTAGGAGATTCCAGGCATACAGCCTCTCCCACAAATTCATTCTCCTGTCTGATAGGCTATTAATGCTCAAAACAAAAACAAAAAAAAGGAATAAAAATGTCGGTTGTGCTGACCAGTGTTTCATGGTGCTAAACAGAAGAAAAAAAAATTGTGAAGTACAAATACAACATTACAGTTGTGTGCTTGTCAATTCTGCCTATGAAAAACAAGAGACACAAATTTTAGAGCAGTAACAGATTTTATAAAAACAGTACTATTTAAGTCTTAGACAGTCAAAGAAAATGTTTAAAGCTATTTATCGTGGCAGTAATTGTATATTTTCTCAGAAAAAAAAACAATTTAACATTATTGCTGGACGCCTAGATGAATACGGCTTTGTTTCCCAATCCTCTCCTTAGGGCCACCCCATCCATTCTACGTATTCGTTAAATTTCTCCACCAGCTCAATTAATTAATAAACTTACTTAGTTATATACCTTTACAAGGTTTTGATTGGCCAAACAAGGCCAATCAAAAACTACGTGGGTGTATTGGATGGTTGCTGCAAATACTGAGGTGATTTTAGGGGGGTTCTGGAATGGCTAAGCTGACACACTTTGACAGACATAATATCATAGTTTTACACCAATGTGAAGATCATCATTTTCTGTGACTGCCTAAGACACAGTACTGTATGTATACAGCAATTTTAGAAAAAGACATGGGTGGACAAGTTCTTTAAGATGACAAAAGCGGCGCGTCTTATGAGCAAGCAACACAGAGGGTAATCTCCTTGGAATTCCTGCCTTCTCTGTTGTCGCTGTTGCAGACTGAAAAAACGGCGGGACCTCAAGGGGTCACGGGGTCAACGCCGTAGAGTTTGCCGAGGCCCCAGCTGCCCGCATCACTCTGTTTGCTCTCCATCTTCGAAAGAAAGGCTCAAGCCTCGAGTTCTGCTTTTTTCTCATAACACTATACCTTTTCAATAATGCTGGGGGAGAGAGAGAGAGAGAGAGAGAGAGGGCTTGTAGCCTATGCCCGGCTGAGTCTGCTCTCATTCAAGGCATCATTACGAATCAGGCCTCTGTCCCCTGAGTAGCCGATTAAGGAAAATAAGAAACTCAAGCAACACGAGCAAACACCCTCTCTGAATGGCCCCTGAAGTCCCTCCCATTTTCCCATGCAAGTGTTCTGAAATTTGCTCAAAACTCTGATGTCAGTTAGAGGCAGCATCGACACTTTATTTCAGGCACTGTAAAGACTATTTTCTAAGCTCTGCCTGTTTCCCACCCCACAGCAATGTCCCGAGATCTCTGCTACGCATAGGGTGACAGCTACCTCAGAGACACCTTCGGGGCCATCGTGGGAACGGAAAGTATTTTGTGCCTAGGTGCCGATTTTTGCATTGGCCCTAAGCCTTTCCGAAAGCAAACAGGAGCTGGGGGAAGACGAGTCGCCCAAACAGACACGGCAAACATAACGCGTATTGTGGGGCCATCAAAAAAAGCTGGTCTGCCGCTCTCTAAAAAAAAAATTAGCAGCCAATTTAAAGACTATTGAACCACTTCGCTCCCTTTTTTCGCAGTTACATGCGATGACCTCAACTTTAAAGCACCCAGCATGGGCAAGGGGAGAGAACACAGAGTTTATGCTCCACTTTGATCTAGCTAAAGGCCTTACAAAATGGCCGACCGGAGATGAGAGGTAGCAGATTGCTCACATTCTAGGTTTCCATTTTTCGGAAATTAAATCATGAAAATATGGAATTTTAACAAACTTTTTTTAAGCATATTATACATTTTACTTCCATTACAGATACTTCCAGCCAAAGCAACACACACATTTTCAAGAAGGCAGTATCAGTCAATCACAGGAACGATGAAAGGATAAGGCCTTTACTAAGGGGGTCAATATTAAAATCAGTCTCCTGACCCTGAGATTCAGACTAGCAACCTTAGGATCACAAGCACAGAGGCCTAACCCATTGAGCCGCGCATCACCAGTAATATGATTTATTTGAAATGAATAAATAAATTTTGCGATGTTAAAAACCTAAACTGGGGTACATATGCGTGACACAAGACTGTTTTATGACAATGAAAAAGTTTATATAAACCTCCCTGTGCTAAGAAGCACTAAGGTCATCATTTTGCTGTTTAAGGCACAGACACAAGAAGCAGCACATCATAGGAGATGGATTTGGTCATGCAGCATCCTTTTATGGAGCAGCAACACTGCACAACGACATTCCCTGCAGATGGTACAAGAACCACAGAGCAGAAGCTCCTGCCCGGGTCCTAGCATCGTGGAAACGTTTCGGCAGCTTCACCATAAAATACACGTCCATCTTGAAGTGCCCTTCGGCGAGTATTTCTTTTGCCGTGTTTACTTGGCCTTTTGTGGCACCCTGGGTAGTATGAGTAACAGTTTTGCTTTACTCCAAGTCGTCACCAGTTTCTGCAGCAAATCTGTGTGCTGCAGTTTAGGTGAACATAATCCCCTGGCTACGCGCATTAAATGCACAAATGATAAAAAGGAATGCGTACTTGCGCCGCTGCATCTGTGATTATAAATTTTAATGATACGATGCATACCTTGACAAAAATAAACGCCAGCGCACTCTGGGTTCTGCCCCACTTCTCGAGGGCCGTACTTTAAACGAAGCATCTCTCTCAATCACCTGAAATGTTGATACTGTGTTTAAATCAATTTGTGCCTGCACTTGTAAAAAAGATTACAGCGTTCACTATATATTTAAGCAAACTCAAGTGCTCTCTGCGAGCGCTATGAGTGCAACCACAAGACCACATATGAAAAGGTGCTTCAGTATGGACTGACTTCAAAGATCTAAGTGCACAGGAGTGCACAGGCAAACGCTGACAGCACAAACAATAATTTAATATGGTATTATAAATACTTTCTTAAAGCTTTTTTAATGTTTACTCTATGTAATAAAAGGTCTGGGAGGGAGCAAAAACATGGCCCGTCTGAGGCTCCCTGACGACTGGGTTGAGAAACACTGGTCAAGGGCCCTTTTGCCAAATGATGTCAACCAATTGTCTCACTGAGGTTTCACTCTCACAGGTTCTTTGCTGATAGTCAGTGCCGGAGATGCCTGGGAAGTGACAGCAGCTGCAGCCGTGGAACTCAGACCCCTCCACCAAACATCCAACCATGAGACAGAAAGATGTATCCGCGATGGGCAGCATTAAATGCAGTAAAATAATACAATGGGATTCTTCAACACCAAAACTTGGTGACTTAAGGTGATGTAGGCTAAAATGCCATCTTTATTTTGTTTCTTCTGCCACTGCTGGAAGTTAAAAAAAAAAAAAACAATATTAATTTGCTGCACTCCTGGTCAGTACAACAACCTGCTACATCAAGGGTTCTGTGCAGCGGCTGGTAGCCTTTTGCTACTGGGTTTCTTTAGTACTAATCAACTCAAATAAAATGGAAGGATTCCTCTGCAGTTCCGATGAGGTTTAAAAAGGCTCATACATTTACATATACAGATTCCTGGGTGTGATTCTGGACACATACCCACACAGCCAGAACACAGCACAAACGTGCAGTGCTGCAGAAATGTGCTCCGTTATACCACTTTGATTTCATACATCCAGTACAAGATCACAATGAGCCTGGAGCCTATCCCAGGAAGCACATGGAATGAGGGAGGGGGCACGAAGGAGGGGGCATTCTGCTGGGGATGCCAGGCCTCTGATTACAGGGTAAACAAATACATGAAAAATCACCAAAGAAATCAAATAAACTGAGGGTCATGGGTTCATTTTAAGAGGCCGCTGTTTCCTTGCCTAGCATCCATTGCACTGGGGTCACCTGAATTGCTGGACAAAGGTGCGAGTCTGTGGCATCCTCATGCCCCGGATATGGCTCTCCGCAGCTCTGTACCTGTGTTTCTCACTCAGTGTTCACAGGGAGAAAAGGAACACACCTCCAGAGCACTCCAAAAAAAAAAAATAATGCCTCAAGCAACCGACGCAGACAACTGTAAAACCTCGTCCTTTTTTTGTTAAGACATGTAACGTGTGAAAAGCACTGCCACTTAAGACGGGTAACGCTGAGCACGAGCACAGCGCAGCCACAGCTGCCGAGGATCACAGCAGACTGGCCCTCGGAGCAAAAGAGGCAAAGCGGGTAAAAAGGCAGAGCAAAAACAACACCTTACAGCCACCGCGACTTTACGGACTTTAAACGTTGCGACTGACGGCAAAAATAATATCGTTTCATTTGGAGATGGTATTTAAATGGACGTGCAAAGTCATACCACCAAAACATCGGACGAACAACAAAATAACAAAAGAGGTTTTTTTGAAACAAAACATAAAACAGCTCAACCAAGCAGATGAAAAACGTCCAAAAAAACATCATTTAAAACATGCCTTGGGTGTGTGGTTAAGACAAGTGTGAGGCTAAAAGTAAAGAGTTTCAGCCTCCTGAGATATAGGCCTAACCAGGGGAATTCCTGTCGCTGGCATACTTACAACAGGACTGCTAAAGACCTTAGGCAGTAACTGCGCAGGCAGGCGAGCAGGCGGGAGCTTCAGCTACACCGAGGTCTCGCTGTCAAACAAACACAGACGAAAATGACTGACTGGCCCCGAGTGAAACCGTAGACAAGTGCACTGGCCTGCAGCCTTAAAGCAGACAAAAAAAAAAGAAGGAAAAAGTAGGTTCTCAGGCTGAATATATTATTTATAAACAATGAGGTGCTTTTATAGCACGCGGAAACATCAAAAGTAATAAAACTCTCTGAGAGGAAAGTCCTCTGTGCTAACAGACAGGGCGTACAGGCCTAGACGTGTGCCGGCAGCGTTTAATAAATCTTCCCTTCCAGGAGAGGAGGGGGAGGGAGGAAAAAACCCTAAACGGATTGATTAACTGATGACATTTTTATGGCTATAAGATTACCATTGTTGCACTTTGAACACCCATTATTAGCAATATAAATGATAATGTATGAGTATTTATACCCTCACCACATACTGTATTTCAAAATCGAGGTCGTATTCCCTATTTTGCCTGTTTATATATCTGATATGGCCTTCACACCTCTCTGCTTCAGGTCTCTGATGTACAAATAAGCAAAGCCTGTCAGCACCATTTAAAGGGGGGCTGCAGTGAGACACCCTTTCATGCGGGATTACGCCACAATGGGCAGCCCAGACCCTAGATACGTGACACATCGAATCAATTCACTTGGCGCCATGACTACGGTGCCGGGGACCGCTGTCACACCGGCAGGTGACCGAAGGGAGATGGAGGAGTCGTCGCCCGCAAATTCAGGCCTGAAAGTTCCTGAGAAAGTCATACACCGCATCCACACGCTCTTTCTGGAGTCCCTTGTACGGTGTCAAAATTCTATCTCCGTGGCGACAACGCTCCGGGAGAATGTCACGGCATCTCCGTTGTCCCGGCGATAGCTGGCTGGTCTTCAAAAAGATTCGAAGCGTTGACCAAACACACCACTGCCTACTCACCACCCCCAACCCCCCCCCCCCCCCCAGCCCTGACCCCATTCAACAAATTGCAGACACTTGAGGATCACATGGGGCTCTTCTGGTGATCTGGGTAGAAGCAGTTTGGGGAATTACATTATTTGCAGCAGCCAAAAGAATAACATTCTCTGTTCGATGGAATCCGTGTAGTTAAGGCAATAATATGGCTTCACACGGGGTTCCCTAAATGATTTGGGTAAACAGTCATGTTTTCAAATCCAAAAAACAGAAAAAATTGGGGTAGATTAACTCTCGGGGTACACGAATGAAGAGAGAGCTGTGAAGAGGTATTCAGTAGCTGCACACTGGAACAGCCAGTTCAGTAGCGGCTCCAGTTGATGCGCTAACATCTGCTCTTGTGAAGGGCACCCACTATCCCCACAGTTACACTTCTTGTTTTAACCCCCAACTTTCCTTAGGGATCGTTCCAGACAAACAAGAAAATGAATAAAGCAGCTCTGATGCA